TGAAACAATATCAAAGATGTACCACAGTTAACTGTAATCTTAGCTTTATCAAGTTTTCCATTGTCTCCTCTAAGGACTTATAGAATCTTATAGTTGTTTGTAAGAGTTTTGATAAACATGTATGTGTCCTTTATGAAAAATAAACCATCAGGGAATGATTATTTCTTCACCATCAGCATAATTTTATCACAGAAATACCACAATGCCTCTGATAGGTCTTACTCAGCACTAATCCTTGCCCTTGTTTACTTTGCATGATGTTATCAACATGTAAACAAGCAGGCTGCATAATTTAAAAATAATGGTTCATATATTCATTGTTTTCTGATAATTTAAAAACAAGCATACCAATCATGTTTAACAGTAAAAAAAATGATGAAAAAGATTTATCAACAGAGAGAAGACAGATGTCAGTATGCAGTGAAAGCCGTATGATTAGGGAATGGTTGTTGTTATAAAAATGATCACAAACAACAACAGGTTAAAAGCTGTAAAGCAAAGCATTCCTCCAATTCCTTACACATAATACATGCATCATGCATCTATCTACTTATGTTAAGTGCATGTTTGTAAAAATGTTCTATGTACCATGTATAACACATTAATCCCTACATATAAACACACCTACTGAGGATGTGCAGATAAATAAGCAGATTATCTACGATAAACAACTTGTGTATTGATGAAACTGCTGCAACATATGGTATAAACACAGTACAATAGTTTTTGAGACAAAAGAAATTCAAATTTCAAATAAGCAGAAAGAGTACTTGAAGTAAGTTTTATTTTTAATGAACTGATCTTAAACAGAGAAATGGTGATATATTGCATCTCCTGTAAACATCAATCAACTGTTTCAACTCCTCAATGCTCAATGAAATTAAAACAGAGAGAAAAGGATATAAATTTCCCCAGGGAACATTGCGTCTGCATAACAACTCTCGACTCCATTAATGCTACTTCGTAAACCCTCTACCTTTAAAACCGGTTTTCCATCTATGAATTAAAATTTTATGCACTTGATTCTGTATGCGAGGAACTCCAGGTAACATGGCTGCAAATGGCTTTTTTACAAGACGTGCCATGTAAATCAAACATGTGAAGAAGCCATTTTGAAGAGAGACTAGCCCATCCCAGAAGACCCTTGCCAGTAAACATTAACCAAAATAAACCCTACAACAAAATATCTGTAATACAATTAGACAGTATTCATTACAGCTGAAAAGTCCAGTCTGAAATGTTAGTGTTACTAAAATTCCAATACCATTTGGCATATAATTCTATAATTCTCAGTATATGTAGCAGTGATCCTAATAACTTGTCCAAGTTCTAAATATTTAACCAATCAACAACAACTTCACAGCTATATATATTCCTTTTTGCATATTATAGTCTTCTGTTAATAAGCCCAAGGGGCCCACATATTCAACTCAAAGTCAGGGGATGGGCTTAGAGTACAACAATGGCATAAAAGTTGATAAAAAATTTCTGAACAGTAATAGACATCAGTGGACAGACGATTCTAAATGGAAAGATATGGAAATATAAAAAATTACGTAATCATACATGTTGCTATTTTTTGCTGATGTCAGACCTCTAACTGTCCTAAGACCCTAAAGTGTACATAAGTATATATTCACATGTAAACAATTAAGTTATAGACGTAACATAAATGGCCACAGTCATAGGCACTGAACTATGCGTAATCTTTAAGTCAGTGAAAACACTTGGAAGCAAAACAATTCTGGTGAAAACTGCAAACCATCAAAAGAAGGAAAATATTCCATGAATACAGGATTCCGATGGCTGATAATTGATTGGAGTGGATTGATGGCCCGGTTGTTCAGTAACAACCATTGGGGACGAATTGTTTTGTGTGTAAGATCAATTAGTAACACTTCAATACATCTTCCTCAAGAAGAACAATTATTACATTGCAGAAAACACCAGTGAAGCAGAATCTCTCCTTTCTTGTACAACTAAATTGTGTCTTTTATTGAATTACCTCCCCTGGAAACATTCATCTATATCAATTTATGTATTGGATCATTTGAGACATGGGTTATTCTAAGTTGGTTTCAGCTTCTAATCAATAAGGTTAAAACTAGCTGGTTCGAGGATTGATTTCTGTGGAATCCGATAGAGATTTCTGAAAATTGGCTCTAGGAACATAAACAGTAACAGCAAATCTTATACCTAACAACGCAAGGGGCAATTCATTTTGTTTCAACAAAGCTCTACAAAATATATACATAGGTCTGCAAACATCACTAGATGCATAGTTTATTTTTTATTTTCAGCAATGGTAATGCCATATAGGATGTTGTAATTAAGACCTAAGGAACACCAACCCTAACAATTAAGCAACGATTCTAGAGACAACAGTTACACTACAGTAGCTCTATATAATCTTTCGGAACACAGATCTTTCTAGAAAAGTGATGACATCTGTCTACATCTCTATTGATATTGTCTATACTGTTATAGTAATTCCTTTTAATACTTTTTAAGTATTTCCCAATCAGTAAACAGAAAGGAGATCTAATCTGTGTAAATTCATTATATCTCTGTTGACAAAAACATGTTGGATCTGCTGAAACATGCATATCTGAAATTAAAGATTTGCTGTAAAATTTCACATTCGTATTGAGTTGAATATAACAGTGTCATGATCATTAGTAGAATTGATAAATCTAATTATTTTCATTAAGAGGAAGGATTTTACACCATCTTCAATATTTCAGACATCATTGCCACCAATTATTTTCTCAGATTCAATGTCACCAGGTTACTGCAAGCTAAGCAGAAGTCTCTCCGCTCACTAATGAACAGCAGAACGATCTTGTGATGAGTCTTTACAAGTACAGAAATCTTTTTCCAGGTAGATTGTGGGTTAGACTGTAGCAAAATGTTCATCTATGTCTATAGCTCTAAGCTATATTGTATAGGTTAGAAATGGTACGATAGATTTCCATTTCTACAGCTGTACAAGGTACACAAATCTTCATCACACAAATCTTCATCTAGGTTAGAAATGGTACCGTAGATAGTAGCTGTATGTGCTTAGATTTCTATAGATCTTCAAGGTACATTTAGGTCAGTTGTAGGGCAGACAGTAGAGAAATAGTCTTCAGTTCCGTAAAAAAGGTACACAAATCTTTGTCTTGGGTAGAAGTGGTAAGACTGACTGGCTGAATGCTTGTAAATATCTATAATTCTACAAGGCATACAAATCTTTGTCTTGGGTAGAAGTGGTAGGATGGACTGGCTGAATGCTTGTAGATGACTATAGTTCTACAAGGCATACAAATCTTTGTCTAAGGCATTAGAGGTAACACAGACTTTAGAGGAATGTTCATCAATGTCCAGAGCTCTACAAGGGTACACAAAGCTTTAACTGGGGGTGGTAGTGGCATGCATGGGCAGTTTATAATAAGATGTTTTATTCCACTAGTGATCAATGCTTCAGGTCCAAATATCAAATTAGTGTGTCCCATCTGACAGACTGGACATTGATTAGGGTTTAGAAGCCCATACTAATCCTCTGGAGTGTCTGACAACACAATCTAATTACCTAACGCCCAGTCCACCTACAGGCCAAAACAACTTCATCTATTTTGCCTGTAATCAGGTGTCGGGACAACACACACTAACCCTGTCTTCTTCATAATCAGGGTGCGTCAGCTTAATCACACCATCCACCGACCTATTTCTACATCTTAATTGAAACATTATTATTGTTAAAAATTTTAATGAAGGAAAAATCTTACTTACAAGTTTTTAACATCACCAAGTGATGGTTATATAGCTCTTGGATATGGAGGTTTTTGCGGACATTTTAGATGATCCCTAATGTGTTTGTCTATCTCCTAATACCTGTTATATAAGTAAACACTCCTACTTCATTACCAACCACTTTAGCACTCGATTCCCTGCAGTAAGATATAATTATACACGACCAATCTGTCCCCATACAACACTATCTTCCATTTCCCTTCCCTTCGTATCAACATTCTTCCTCTGTCCCCTAACCGAACAAGAACAAATGACTTCTCTTGCCTTATAAAAGACAGCTCCTGTATTTTTTTTTTCTCTGATTTTCATGGATAATCAATTTTTTTCCCCTTTACCTTGTATAATGAAGGCGTTCACTACCTTCTTCATTTCATCATCATACAGTTATTTTCTATATCCTTTTTAGATTGTTGCAATGTAAACTCCAAGTCAAATGATCACTGATAGGATATGCTGTATTCCACAGCTTGTTCTTAGGAGGCAACTCAGATCATGCTCTTTGTGCAGAATCCAATGTTTTCATGTCTTCTACCAGAGGGACATTCAATTGCTGGGGGTACCCCCATTACTAATAAAACACTTTAGATCTTGATTCAGTTCTTTCCTACATTGTCTTTCTTTCCCTGTCTTATTTTCTACACAATTGGTGTCCCTTTTGACCAGCACTCATACATCTTAGCTGGTGCCTCATACACCCTGGCTGGTGCCTCATACACCCTGGCTGGTGCCTCATACATTCTGTCCATGCCAATCCATTAAACCCATTAAAATCAAATCAACATCATCATACTGATGTTGTGGTCATGTGTTGATTAATCTTTAACTTCCTTTGGCTTTAATGCATTTTTAACATTTCATAATGATTGATTCTACATTTGATGGTACTCCATACCTCTGAATGCCAGCTTAGACTGTAAGACTTGTTGTGACCTTAAGAAACACTTTCAGCTTAAGACATGAACTATTATGTTATCAAAGTATGACAATAGTTTTCAACCCCTTTCACAACTGGATAAATCAACACAATCTAGATCATGGGACTATATTTCCAGGTTTCATTAACCATTTATCATTTTTATATCACTTTCCCTACATGTAACTGCTGTAATCCAATCTACCTATATTTTACAGAACATAAAATTGAAACCATCTAAAATATACAATTTTCTAGAGAACACCTATAATAGGACTTAACATATACTTACTGGCACCGCCTGTTGAATCGTTGTCGTAGGCCCGTAGGACTGAGTCAAGTTTGACCGTGGTTTGATCCTCCCCAATGGTCCCCCTAAACTCTGGCACCCCTCTTCTGTTAATACGCTGGGACTGTATTAGCGGGTCGTATATGTTGGGCTCTGTAATAAAACAAAAGAACTTATGATTTCTACTAAAACAATCATGGTATAATGCATATAGTTGAAGTACCTTGCTAAGTACATTGGTAAAATGGTACTAAATACATTTGTACAATGTTGTGAAACCAGTCAGTAATCATGGTGAAGGAAGAAACATTTTGGGGATTAATAAAAGGTTTAATTGTGGCTGAAAAAAAACCCACGCTTCAGCAACATGTGTTTCCTGTCTTAGTTACCATGTTGTTAGCTCTCAGGATACATCCATCTTCATATCTTTGAAAGCTTAAAACCCTGACTGTGGTTTTAAGTGACCATGGATCAGTTGATCAATTATTCACAGGTAGTTAATCAATACATTTAATTTATTGACAATTGATTCAATATCAATCATTCACAGCAAAAGTAAACTAAAGCAAATTTTCTACCTTTGTTCTTTTTTTAACTTTTGTGTCAGAGGTAGAAAATTTTTCACATTTAACAGTACATGTCCTTGTTTTATTGTTTTTTTTGTTAATGTATATTAATCTCGGAAATTTGATAAGAATTTAACTGTAACACACAAGTAATTACATGGGGTTGGTAATGGATATAGTGTTTAAAAAAGACAGCTGACAATACAGATGTTTTATATCCAATTATTTTTATTCTTTTTATAATAGTTCTACAAGAACCATTATACTACCTGTACAACAGTACTTTATATAGGCCTACATATAGATTGTACAATGTTTCGCCTTTGAAGAAGTTACCCAAGAATTTCTTTTCTTTAAAGGTCTGGTTTTTTTCATGTAACTGTTCAATGTATAAGAAATTTAATATGTCCTCCACAAAAAGATCTGTCATTCGACTATCATGCGACTATCATACGACTGTACTTTAATTCATGTGTGCTGACCTGCATCCATGTATACACCCCCGTAAAGCTTACTGGGTCAACACATCGAACTGAAGTAAAATTCTCAAACAAAAAACTTCTGGTACGTTTTGACAGATTATACTAGGAACAAACTTATGTTTACAAACTTATGTTTACAAACTTATGTTTACAAAGCTGTAAATCTCCAAACAATAAGAGACAGTTGTATTTGTGTGTCATTACACATACATAAACCACACAGCATTAAATCTTTTAATACCAAAATAATCGTAATCACCAAACTGGTCTGTAGCTTCATGTCGTATCAACAGGTCATATCGACATGTCTTATCATAAGACACATATGTAATATACTACATTATAATGTCATAAACGAGTCACGTCTTGATGTCACATGATTGTTTCCATAGCGAAAAATGTTCAGCCAGAATACATTTTATAGAGAAATCATTTGAGAATTTTAAATGATAAATAGAATCTTACATTCATGCTGATTTATTTTTATCAATAAATGAACTTGTTTAATAAATTCTGTACTACATAGATACTTATGCACAATCCTGTGGAGAAAAATGTCTCACCCATAGAGTGAAGGAAATAAAATAGTTAGTTTTGTAATAAGACCAGGAGGCTAACACGACACTTGGTCAAAGACTGGGCTTATCGCAGGACAATGAAATATTGTTAATAATTCTAATAAACAGCAGTATGTCTAGACGAGCTTATTACTGGGAATGGACTGATTAATAAAAATATATGCTTGTATAGTGGAATTTCAAAGAATTTTAGAAACATTTATTATCATTGCTCAAATGAAGAGTTATTAAAATAATGTCATTAAAATGATTTACTGCTTAATTTGTAAGAGAAAAAGCACTAAAACATAAAACCTGAACACTGACATATACAAAAAGGCCAGAAGTTACTTTAGGAAATTCACCACGTCATACCTGTAATGTCTACATTAAGGTAAGGCATGTACTACTGTAAGGATCGCATTCACAGGTATGACATTTATGAAATCTAACGCCCACCAAATTAATTCTCAGTAATGTATGATGACAGTGAGTCAGTATTTTTTGTGAATGTTGTTCAAATGAGTCCAGATTATTCTTTTCAAAATTACGATGAATCCCAAAACCGAGAGAAAGAGGATCGCACTAATTGACAAATACCGGTATACCTATGGTTATTCTCTAAATGTATTGAAAACATCTTTAAATTTTGATATTACATATGTAAAAAAAAATATGAGTATCATTTTATTCTCTCAACAAGTACAAAGCTGAGATGATAAGTAAAAAATTATCCATGTGCTACAGTGCATGCATTTATCATATTGTTACATTCATGTAACATTCCTGGTATGAATGAAAGAGTGGTATATATCTTTAATAACTGAAATTCTTTCATTTCTTTTGAATCAGTTTTCACTACCACATACAAATAAGTTGAAACAATATGTGAATTTAACATAACTATTTACTACAATATTAGTTCCTACAGCCATAATTAGTTTCAGCCAATTGCTGGAGTCTTTGTCTAAGATTTTTTACTATGTAACTTTGAATTATGTATAATAACAGACTTTTCTATGTATTTATTTGAATCATGTTATTTTTTAAAGTATACAAATGTTATTTCAATTTTGAGAAAGTTGGTAATCATGTTATGTAAAACTTACAACTGACTTCATTGTTTTGAGATATATCAACAACACATTGGGGATGGTTTCAGAACATAACTTCTACAGACAGGTGACATTGATGGGTTTCTGTAACATTTACAGGTACTATCAACTGATTAGTATCTTTAGTGAAAAAAAAAACAAATGTCAAATCAGATAATTTTCTTTTCAAAATCTCTGACTTGATAAGCATTTTTTCCTATTAAACACCAGCTGCAGAAATTTTATTACAAACTTTGATTTCTGAAAATGGAATTTTCTCTAAGCGAAGAGATCTGCTATAGGCTGTACCAACATTTACATTTTATAATGACAACAAACTTTCACTGCATTACAAATATGAAACAAAACTTCTGGTACTTCACAACATGAAAACTCCAATTATGTTGTCGCAAATCTACATCTTAAAATCTTAGCGAAAATGTATTAATCAAATTGTTGGTTAACTTTTTAAAATTTTAAGTCTTAAACAGCAAACTTTTTAAAAATTTTATATATACTAATTTAATCAGTCAAGTTGTTGAGGATACAATGCATTTCAGATAATGTCAACGTCGTTTAGCTTTCTACTGAAAATACTTCACCACATAACTTCTGATAATATTCACATAAAATTTGTTATTGCAGTCCCCTGTGTAATTTATGACCTAGCAGAAGTGTGATTGGCTGAGGCTAACCTCAAGTTTCCATGGTTTTCATTGTGATGTTGTATGCCATCATGGTGTCCTATGTAATGTGACATCATCAACGAAAGCGATATAATTAGCAATTCTCAAAATGAGCTTTCTTGGATATAAATCTAGTAAAATGCTTCTTTCACAAAAAGTATTTAAGTTATTTAATGTGATAAACAGAACCTTACATCTATTTCATTTGACATTTATGAAACATGTCTAAATAATTAATTTAACTGAGCTTTAAATGATCTGACACTCTCAGGTGATATCCTTCATGTATGGACATATTGGAGAAGATTTGTAAAGTTGAAATATAGAGTTTGAGAAACAAAACTGAGTTGAAGTTTAGCATGATGGTTCATTAACATCAATCCGAGAGTTATGGGAGACCAGTAGTCCAAGACACAGTTGATTTGACTGCAGTAACAGGTGCTCTACGTGCTTGTAAAATGGAAAGTGGAGTGCACTTGTTGGAATTATTCACAGGGAAAAGTTTCCATGTGAAATCAGGGCTGAAAAAACCTACCACATGTTAATGAAAATGAGTCCCTTATGAAAACATCGGGTTTATTTTACCATTTATCAATTAAATCATCAGAGATTTTCTTCATACTTTTACATAACATGAATATTATTGAGTATCATTTCAAGCGAAAATATTTGAGATCTCAGAAATGATTAGCATGTGAAAAAAATTGAGGCACCAGGAAAAAATTAAACCATAGAAAGTGAAAACAAAAGGGATAAATTCTTTTTATTACATAACTTGTTTTACCTGCTGCTATCAGCAATCAACACAGTTTATGATACAAATGTACACACATGAGCATTGAAAGGATCATCACAGTGGCAGTGATTTTTGGGACTCCAATATTTGAGTTAGGACTTTTCCTATGGGATTCTCTCATATTTTGATATATATCTTAATAAACGGACTCAACTAATTCTAAAAATGGTGTTCTGGGCTTGTTTGAAAAAATTCTACGAAAATCACTGAGTTGTATAGTTTATTTGAAATGACAATTGTTGTTGTTTAGTACTGCAACAGGAAAAAATAACGAGATCTTTATAAAAAACCCTGAGCAGAACCCATGATTTTACAGTGTTAAACAATTAAAACATGTAATAGTGTCTGACAAGAAAGAAGGAAGGGTCTGACAAAGTCCACATGTACTGCAATAAGAGGATGGTTAATAGGTGTTTGGTACAAACTGTACTGAGTGACTCGACCCTTATTACCGGTTTACCTGAAGGAGTGTTCCTTACCACATACAAATACTTTTGAACTAAGATATCTCTAACCTCTGGACCACTGCCTCACCAACCTACTTCAGCTATAAAACCAGGTTACAGTAGCCAGAAAGCCATACATATATGATTATCAAGTATTTTTACAAGAGGCCTAATTGACCTGTAACACTTTTTGACTGTAGTATATAATTAGAATTCTTTTCAAGCACAAAAGTACTCAAGAAAATCCCACATTATCATGGAAAAAAATTTAACCGAAAGATCTAAATTCAGGGAAAATTTTTCACAAATTCTATGGTGATAGTCCAGATTACAACCTTGTACAGTGATTATGAACATCAACAGGAAGTGAACAAACCTTTTTTTACAGCTTTGGTACCTCTATTTACACCAGGTCTATGATTTACAAATCTCTGAATTTATCTCCCTAATACTGTATAGCAGTTATTTCTAAGGTGGTAGTATTTTCATGAATTCCATAGCAATTAACATCAAGCTTGATTTATAA